GCCGGAAGGGGGGAGTGGCTGCCAGGGGCCGGGCCCGCAGCCAGACCCGGCCTGCCCCCCCTTCCCCTCCCTAAATGATGTATTTCTGCCATTCTCTACTGATTACCATTTATAATGTTAATAATCCCCCTGAATTCCCTCATTATCACGGCTAATGACGGGAGCACTAAGTGCCGACGCTTTCCCTTTCCCACTATTACCGAACAAAGAGGCTGATGCAGGAGAAAAGGGACAATTTTCTCAGGCTGGTCCTTTCCTCCCTAAATGTCCCCGTCCCCTCTGGCACCTCGCCCGGGCAGGGAGCCGATGGCACCAAGACACACAGCCCTTGCTCGGTGGGGCAGGGGAAAAAGGAAACTTTAAAGCTAGCGAACCCTGCCTGATAAACCTCCCGGGTACGCGGAGAAGCGAGAGCCCCCCCTCGGCGCTGCAGGTGGGACCTCGGCGCTTGGGTTGGGGTGGAGAAACACCACCTCCAGCACGTGGGCAGCAGGGCTGTACGGGTGAACATGGGCCATCTCCATCCCCATCACCCTGGAGCGCCCAGGCCACCCTGGGTCTGCCTCCCGGAGTCAGCAAGCTCACAGCTTTGCAGCTTCTCCTCGCGTGTCACCTCTGTCCCTCTGTGTCACTGCAGGGCTGGACACGTCCACCATCACGTCCTTCACCACCTCGGTGGCCCTGGACTACGAACAGACGCTCACTGCCACGGCCACAGGTAGGTCGGCAGCCACCCGGCTCACCCTTGAGCCGTAGCCGGGGCTGGGGGCTCACTGGGGGGGGACTGTATCTCCTGTGTCCTCCCGTGTCCCCATCACGGTCACCCTGGGGTCCTGCCGCACGTAGGTGAGGCTCGGGGGGTGACGTTGCCCGCAGCAGGAGCTTGCCATGGGGCCGCCGCGGTGCTAGAGGCTGCTGGCACCGACCGGAGCAGGGGCAGCGGGTGCTGGAGCTGGACCCCCCCAACGCCCGTGTGTCCCCACGCTTGTCCCAGCAGCGACAGACGGCAGGGAGCAGCCCTCCCAGGCCACCGAGGTGGTCACCACCGGCCTCCTTACCTTCGAGCAGGAAAGTAAGTGTGCGGCCGCTGCTAGTCCTGCACAGGGTCCGGCATGGCCCCCCAGGGCTCCACGTCCCTGAGGGGTTACCCCATATCCCCAGGGCTCACCCCACAGCCCCGGGAACTACCCCATGCTCCCACGGGACCTTCCACATCCCCTGGGTTTACCTCATTCTCCTAGGGCTCACCCCACATTCCCAGGGGATCTCCGGCACCCCACGGTTCACCCCATGCTCCCAGGGTTCACCCCGTGCCACCAGGGAGTTGCCCCATTCCCCCAGGATGTACCCCACATCCCCAGGGCTCTCTTATGTCCCCCGAGTACCCCGGGGAGTTACGTCCCCCGGGCTCACCCCACATCCTCAGGGGCCCCCCCATGCCCCCAGGGCTCATTCCATATCCCCAGAGGTTACCCCGTGTGCCCAGTGCTCACCCCATGCCCCCAGGGAGTTACCCCACATCCCCAGGGCTCACCCCATATCCCCAGGGTTCACTCCATGCCCCCCAGGGGTTCACCCCACATCTCCAGGGATTACTCCGTGCTCACAGTACTCACCCCGTGCTGCTTGGGAGACACCCCATGTCCCCAGGGGCTCACCCCACATCCCCAGGGCTCACCCCATGTGCCAAGGGGGTTGCTCCCATGTCCCCAGGGGTTACCCCGTACCCCAAGGGCTCACCCCATGCCCCCAGGGGCTTACCCCACATCCCCAGGGCTCACCCCGTGTTCCCCGGGGCCTCACCCCGTGCCCCCGGAGGGTCATCGGGGGACATCGAACCCCCTGCGGAGCCCCGGTCCCCCCGGCGGCGTGCCTGTGCCGGGGTCCCCCACGCAGGTGACGGCGTGC